GGGCCCCGAGTCCGTGGGCAGGGGGGTTTTGGCAGTGCAAGGAGGGATTTCCAGCCCCGGAGGTGCCGGGATGGGGTCAGCGCTGCCCGCTGTGCCCAGCCCTGTGCCCCATTGTCCCTCTCCCTGTGCTGTACCGCCGCAGCTGTGCCAGGAGCGGAGCCAGGGGCTCWTTGTGAGCCTGAAGGATTGCCCCTCGTCCGAAGGGGGCTCTGCCGCTCTGTCCCTCGCTCCGTTCCGGTGCTTCCCTTCTCGGGGAGCCGGGGGCAGGATGGAGCTCAGGTTGGAGCTCAGCTCGGTTCAGCCCGGCTCAGCCCAGCTCAGCCCGGCTTTGCGGGCACCGGGCTCCATCCTGCAGCTCCTGATTACGGGCTGAGCACATCTTCCTCCCTGAAAACCCCTCCCAGCCCTCGGAGGTGATTTCCTGAGGCGGGAGCAGCCGGGTCCGGGGTGGTGAAGCCATTCCTGCGCTGCCCACGGTCACTTTTCCGAGCTTGTCCCCTCGCTGCTGCGTTTCACTGGGTTTAAGCTCAGTTTTCTCAGTCCAAGGCAGGTCAGACAGGCTGTGGGGGCTTCCCTGCCCCTCTGCCAGCCCTCCCTGCTGCCATCCCTGGGCACGGGCACAGACCCCACCCCATCCGAGGGACAGTCTGGGAACATCAGCCGGGAGTTCGCGTGTTTGGGGCMGCCGCTGCCGCTGCCAGCCCCTCTGGCTGCGGGCGAGGGAGGAGCTCAGATCGGGAGGGAGATTCTGGAGGTGTTTGGTGCCGGATCTCCTGCCGGAGCCGGGTTGCTCCATGGGGTTGTTGTTGAAATCCCGGAGCGCCGTCCCTGCGGGGTTTCTTGGCAGCGGGGTTGTTTTCTGATGGCAGCAGGCACCGCTGCAGGGTGGGGACAGAGGGTGACCCTTGRTGGCACCCAGAGCTCTGTGGGGACRGAGRGTGACCCYWGGTGGCACCCAGAGCTCYGTGGGGACRGAGGGTGACCCYWGGTGGCACCCAGAACTCTGTGGGGACTGAGGGTCACCCTGAGTGTCATCCAGAGCTCTGTGGGGACAGAGAGTGACCCGAGTGGCAACCAGAGCAACGAGAGCTCTGTGGAGACAAAGGGTGACTCCAAGTGGCACTCAGAGCTCTGTAGGAGCCCAGTGCCCATTTTGGGTGCCTCCCCCCATCCCCAATCTGGGCATGGCTTTGGCTCCCTGTTTTTGGTGCTGCCCAGTGCCCCCAGCCCCTATTTTGGGTGCCTCCCCCCATCCTCCAGCCATACCCAGCATCTTCCTTCAGTGCTGTCCTGAGATCTGCACTCCTGGGGGAATTTTGGTGTCATTCTGTTCCCGTCCTAATTTTTGAAGTCCTCAATTCAAAGCCCTCATGGACTTCCTAAGGGTGGTCAGGGCCACKCCRTGCTCCTGGGCTGAGCTCTGGGATKYTCCATGGCCCTGGGGGATGGAAGGATGCTGACCCTKCACCCCAGCCCACCCCAAAGCCCCGTCTGGGACTGACCCTGCTGGGGTTTGCTCYTGGGGAGGGAGGAGGGTGCTGCTCCACGCTCAGCTCCTCTCCTTTCGGAGCAGCACGCGGCCCAGATGGAGCAGAAGCAGAACGAGACGGAGAACAAGAAGGTGCACGGGGACGTGGTGAAGTACGGCAGCGTCATCCAGGTACGGGGGCAGCGGGTCCAGCACGGATCTAACACAGATTCAGCTCAGGTCCAGCACGGATCCAACATGGATCCAACACGGATCTAACAAGGATCCAACAGGGATCTAACAAGGATCCACCACGGGTCCTGCACGGATCCAACACGGATCCAACACGGGTCCAGCACGGGTCCAGCATGGGTCCAGCATGGATCTAACACAAATCCAGCATGGATCTAACACGGATCCAGCACAGATCCAACATGGATCCAGCACGGATCCAACATGGGTCCAGCATGGATCTAACACAAATCCAGCATGGATCTAACACGGATCCAGCACAGATCCAACATGGATCCAGCACGGATCCAACATGGGTCCTGCATGGATCCAGCACAGATCCAACACGTATCTAACACGGATCCAGCATGGATCCAACACGGGTCCAACATGGGTCCAGCACAGATCCAACACTGGTCCAGCAGAGATCCAGCATGGATCCAACACAGATCCAGCACAGATCCAGCACAGATCCTGCATGGATCCAGCACAGATCCAACACGGGTCCAGCATGGATCCAGCACAGATCCAACAGGGATCCAGCATGGGTCCTGCATGGATCTAACACAGATCCAGCACGGATTCATCACGGATTCATCACGGATCCAACACGGATCCAACACAGATCTAACACGGGTCCAGCACAGATATAACACGGGTCCAACACGGATCCAACACGGATCTAACACAGATCCAGCACGGATCCATCACAGATTCATCACGGATCCAACACAGATCCAACACGGGTCCAGCACGGATCCAACACAGATCTAACACGGGTTCAGCACGGATCTAACACAGATCCAACATGGATCCAGCACGGGTCCAACACGGGTCCAGCACGGGTCCTGCAAGGATCCAAYACTGATCTAACAYGGATCCAACAYGGATCCARCACTGATCTAACAYGGATCCAGCACKGATCYAACACRGATCCAGCMCGRATCCATGTCTGGGAAGGGGCTGGTGGGGTCTGGGCAGCCTCGGACTCCTCCAAACCCCCCACCCTGGGCTCCCGCAGCTGCTGCACATGAAGAGCAACAAATACCTGACAGTGAACAAGCGGCTGCCGGCGCTGCTGGAGAAAAACGCCATGAGGGTGACCCTGGATGCCACCGGCAACGAGGGCTCCTGGCTCTTCATCCAGCCCTTCTGGAAGCTCAGGAGCAACGGGGACAACGTGAGCATGGAATCCCTGAACRGGGGTGCAAAGGGCTCTGTTCAGGAGCTCAGCTCCCCGCAGAATACCCGGTCTCATCCTCGCTGCCCTGTTCCCATTTTGATCCCCAGGTAGTCGTGGGAGACAAAGTCATCCTGAACCCCGTGAACGCCGGGCAGCCGCTGCACGCCAGCAACTACGAGCTGGCTGACAACGCTGGCTGCAAGGAGGTGCAG